CACAGATCATAAAGCTAGGTCACACCACCTGCTAGACATAAGCTGTCTAGCACTGAGGGAGACCATGTCATGGATGAAGATGTGAAAGAAAGAAAACATTTTAAAACCTTTTTTAACCTTGACACTAGGAACTGATGATAAACAGATGGTCCAATTAGATATTCTCTTGTTTCCTATGTCTTTGGGGGCGAAATAATAAAGTACATTTTCTATACTGTGTTTTTTAAAGGAAATCCAGAAAACCAATGGCCGTTTTATTCATAAGGTTTGTCAGAGTAACTAATTAGCAAGGAAAAACCACACATCAGTTATGAGAGAATTTCATCTTCTTGCATAGCGAACAGTAAAAGGTTTAATGTACTTATTTAATAATTTTTATAAAAAGCTGTAATCAGCATTTATTAAAGTCGTCGGGAAATCATATTTAAATGTCAAATCATTCTGGCTCAAAGATGTATATAAATATACTCTTTATCAGACGATACTGTCCCAAAATTTAGAAAATTTATATTTTAAAAAAAATCCTATCTTATCTTAAATCTGTGGTGGTTTTTTTCCGTTATCTTATGCAGGCCAATCCTGCCTTAAAAAAGTTAGTTATATGTCAGCCTGAACACCTAAATTCCGCCAATCATATATCAACGGTCATCTGTCAATCAAATTTTTTCGGTCAAAGCATCTTGATTCATATGTCGCAGCTAATATACGCAACGGTTGAAATAAGAAATAAGAATCATTTCCTTTCCCATTGAGTTCTGTCCCAGTGTTCACGGGGATGGATATCTGTGTCTTTGGCAGGCATAGACCTAACAGCCTTCTACGACAAACCAAACTTCTGCCACCCTGGCGTCCTCTTCCACAACAACTTCTTCCCCGCTTTCCTCCTCTAAATAAAAAATGGATGATGGAGGAGACTCATCCACGACCTCCGACACAAAACTCTCCTCCTCTTGCATGTTTCCTCTGTCCATAGCGTTCCTTGACAGTGTTGTTTCCAAGTCACCAATTTAGTGCTACTGGGTCCCAATGGAATTTGCCATGGGGAACCTACTAGCATTAAGTTGCTAACTGGTTAGCAAGATGCTTCCGGCAAACCGGCCACAACCAAAAAGCTTGCATACCTTCCACCACAACAATCCCACCCCCTAGATAATCGACCAATCACATTCACTTTATTCACTCGTGTAAAGTCGGGTATCGCTCGGGAGAATACGGAAATGCAACGGTTGGAACGATCTGCAGTGTTCCCTATTACTGTACTTTAAACCCTAAAAGAGCAACATTGATATAATTTCTATGTTAGATGTATAAGTTTTGCTGACCCAATCTTTTCATGTCATAGTTATTCAAAGAGTTAATCCTCATCCAGAATGGTTGGTATCAAACATTAGCTGGTGAAAAGTCATCCAGGTCATAGTCATTCTAAAAAAAGAAAATTAACAACAATCCACTGGACTTTGTTTCCAAGTTTGAAGACATTTCACTTCCCATTCAGGGAACTTTTTCATTTTAAAATGTCAGGAATAGCGTTGAGTTGTATAAAACCTCGAACTCAACGCTATTCCTGACATTTTGAATTTAAAAAGCTTCCTGGATGGGAAGCGAAACATCTTAAAAGTTGGAAACAAAGTCCAGTGGATTGTTTTTAATTTTCTTTTTTTTGGCATATCAAACACTAGGGCCCATTCTTGCATCTAAAAGTGGCTCAACTCATGGCACAGCTCTTACTATCTTAAGGCCCCACAAATTAACTTGTTATTTTAACCATTTGCATTTTTTTTTTCGCTGAACGTGTTTTGGTTTCCCACTGATATTTTCAATCAGTGATCTAAATAAATTTAATTTAAGAATATTCAAATGAAATGGAGCTACACCAGTCAAATAGATATTGTCTATCCAAAGTTTTGCTTGAGCAGAGGTCATAGTCTGCCATATTTCATAAGATCAAATCAGGATCAAAACCACAAGTAAATAGGATGTGAAACAATACACACAGTTACATTTATCCGATTATTTTTCTCATTAACTGACCAAAATACTTAACACCCATTTACAAGCAAATATTAAGTGCATAGGTAGAGATGTTATGTTTACAATTATATGATAGAAGAAGGTTTTAAGTAATTGGCAATGCGTGGGTCAGAAATGTGAATACAAAAGGGGAAAATAGACCCAGGTCTCATCTTTTATTATGACTTTTTAGTCAAACTTTATTTGCTTTATTAAAAAATGTTTTCAAAGATGCTCTGGGATAAAAACAGAATGCATTATGACAGCATCATATCTTGTATAGGACACTTCTGCATATCAGACAACCATTACTCTTCAGTCCTGGTTTATTTTATCTCATAAGAAATACAAAGAATGTTAAGATGGTTAGCTCACAAACCAAGGTCATCACATGCTGACTCTGTCTGGTCAGTCTGGGGACAAGTTTCATATTTTATGTCTGCACAGTTTAACAAGACACAGATATAAAATTGACTTTTTCACAAACAGATTCTGACACTTCCTCTGCATCTTTACTGCAAATGATACTCATGGTCTAGTGAGAAAATTAGTGGTTTTATAGGTTTTTATGATATCTGGTCTGGTTGTAAATCTGGTCTCATTAAAAGTATAGGGTTCAAAGATTTTATGGTGATCTGTTAAAAACTGTCAGAACATTTATTTTTTGGAATTATCCTTACTGCAATGCTCTGTTTTATTGCTTTGGGGTAGCTGACAAAAACGCTGGGATTGGAATCTCATGGCTGTCAGAAGTATTTAATAATGAAATGTTTGAGCGACATTTTTTCATGAAACGCTTGTGAGGTGCCAACTTTTCCCACCGTTCTGTCAAAAACATTCCCTTTGATTCTCGGATGGAGATTTCTCAAGTGGGTTTCCTTATTTTTTTTTTACCCAACCAATGATCAATAGGCTGACAGGCACACCTGTTGTTTGGTTCAAGATTCCTGAAACTGCTTTTACTCGTGGATTTATTTTCATAGTCAAGCTTATTTCTGGTGAGACAGTTAGGAAATTTAGATTTAGGGTTCATTAAAGGGATTGCCTTCGAGTAAATGAGTTGATGCAATCCACTGGTTTTCCTTAGATAGAAAACGTTTAATCAATTTGACTGTATGATCTGGTGAACTGTAAAACGCCTTGGGATGACATGTGCTGTGAATTGGTGCTATAAAAATAAACTTAATTGAATTGAATTAAAAAAGTATTTTGAAAATATGTGTAATCCAAATTTTATTAACTGTTTCCACCCAAAAATAAAAAAACAAAATAATATTTTTTTTCTCCTAGCTGCCCTTAAAGTAAAAAAAAATAAAAACAATGCAAGTCAGATGTTTGTTTATAAATCTAAAAAAGAAATACTATAAGTCACTACTTTCTAATCAACAGTCTTAGCAGAATATAAAAAGTTTTATTTTAACTGGCTCTGCCAAAAACACCCAAAACAATTTCTAAATGCCTGATTTAGTTTCACACTGCCTTACTTCTGCGGTCTGGGGCTGCAAACTTGGAGGCACTACATAGATCCCGTGGAAAAGATGTAACAGTTAAGAACAAATTTAAGAAGAAAAAAAAGTCTGTGAAAAAATAAGTTTTTATCTTGATGCATGCAAAGTTCGGACGAAAGTGAAAAAAAACCCCTCCAATTATCAATAATTAAGAATTGCTACAACAAATAGAAATACAAGTTTACATTTTCACCCAATGCTTTGATAAACATCTTTACCAGGTAGGATAGTAGAGATATGATCTCTCTTTTTAATTTTATCAGAACTCTGGCTGCAGCATTTTGGATCAGCTGAAGGCTTTTAACTACAGTTTGTGGACTTCCTGATAGTAAAGAATTACAATAGTCCAGCCTTGAAGTAACAAATGCATGGACTAGTTTCTCAGCATCACCCCTGGACAGGAGATTTCTAATTTTTGCAATATTCTGCAGGTAAAAGAAGAAAATTCCAGAAACTTCTTTGATATGGGATTTAAATGACAGGTCCTGATCAAAAATAGCACCAAGATTTTTTACTTTTTACACTCAAACAGGATGTGGAAAAAAAAACTGCACTGTTTGAACGCAAATTTACTGAATACACGTTTTTTTCATGGTGATGAATAAACACAGTGCTACTAGTATGACCATTTTAATATCTACTAAGTCGTTCTCACCCCTTTTATCTGTTCCAGGCACACCAGCGTCACTGGATAACATTTTCTTCATCTTTCCTCTCTTTCTTTTAAAGGTGGACAACTCGTCTCTGACAGGAGAATCTGAGCCTCAGACTCGCTCCCCTGAGTTAACCCATGACAATCCTCTGGAGACGCGCAACATCTGTTTCTTTTCCACCAACTGTGTTGAGGGTCAGTAAGCCAAATCCAGCCAAGATTGCTTCTTATATCCTCAACATGCCTGTCTTCTAGCCATTTGGTGCAAAACATTGTTATGACTCTAATCAACCATGAATGTGTATCAATGCAATCATTGGCTCGGCGATCTTTCCTTAAAGCTAGAACATATTGGCATCTTACAGCAAAGAGGGAAGGAGCTCATGTATAATGCAAATACACTGGCTGTAAAGAAAAATGTCAGGAAACTTCACCTGGTTTTGGTTTTCCATTTGTTGGGGTCCCAATGAAATGTTTGAAAACAGAAACAAATAAATTCCTTTGTTCATAGAGATTTTTTCCTGAGGCAGATTGTAGGGGTTGAATGAAACACATTTACTCTGATGTGTGTCGGACGACAGTAGTAAAACTACAAATAGATTTTTTTGAAGTACATCAAGGTCCTTCACAGTCTATACAGAAATCCAAATCCAAAATACTCAGCTATTTTAAGTAGTACGCTGCTTTTGCTAAAAATAATTTAATAGTGTTGCTCTGCATTTAATCTCTTTAGAATGCATTTAATCTCTTTGGCATAGTCTTGTTATAAGCCATGTTTTTAATCAGCATATTAGGATTACAAAAAACTAATAATATTGAAGTCATGGCCAGTCTTGTCTGTTACATTACCTACAGCTGTAATTTAAATTTCTTTACCTCTTGAATTTCTGATTCTTTTTTTTTTTTTTTTAGTTGAATGATAAAAATGTTTATGGTTTTAGGATTTATTTAACAAAACCAAAACAGGAATTTCTTTTCTTTTCATAGGGTAAAATACTCTTACATGATATAGTTCAGAAAGTAAAACCCGACAAGTGAAAAAATGTCTAAACATGGATTGTTATCACAAGTTTTTTTTTGTTTCAACTTAAAAGAATATCCTACAATATATCAGGGCCGCCCCCTGATAGGACTGGAAAGCAAGCAGGAGATGATTTGAGAGCTTGAGGCTCCTTTATTGCAAATTACATTGAAAACAAAGTCTCCTCAAAATAACTAAAATATTATGCACAAAACTTTCTGAATGTATTTTTTTTTGTACAATGAAGTTGCACTACTCATATTAAAACTTTTTTAAACGTAAATGCTGTAAAAAAAAAATAAAAATAAATGGAGAAAGGATTATATTTCTGCATTGCTCATTTTCTCCCTCTATCAGGTTTTATTACCGAATTAATAGCCAAACAAAATTGACCTTAATTTAACCATTAAATTATAGAAATTCTTTAATTAATGTTAGATTAAACTAATAATTTTTGATGATTTTAAGTCTGCATGTTTAAAACCAGTGGCTTAAATGGATTTTAGTATTTTTTTATATAATAGTTGCTGTATTTGTAATTAACTATTCTAAAAAGACCAAAATTATTTTTTTATCAACTGCTGCTTTCTGGCCCTTATGTATCTTTGATGTCTTGTTGCTAATATAACATTCTAGAGGTAATCAATGAAAATAATTTCCTCTGTCAGTCAATATAACACCATGTTTTATTGGTGCATAGTAGCTACAGTAATAAAGCAGTCAGTATGAAAGCAGTGATGATGATGTCTGTGGTTAAAACCATTTTTCTTTTATGTCTTTCAGATGTTTTCCTCAATCACTTAGTCCAGCATCTGTTTAGCTGCCCGGTCATCATTCACTGGCTAGCACCTATAACTCACTTCCATCTATCATCGCTCTGCATTCAGTCATCATCTTCACCATCATGCCTCCTTTCTGTTTACAATATACATGATTGACCTTCTGTTATGTCGTCCTCAATATGGACACACTGGAGATGGAGATATATCTGCCAGAAAGCAGCCAACACCTTGAGATCTGTTAGGAACTCTGCCATTACAAAGAAAAGAATAACAGTGATGAAAATAATTAGCTCCTTTGTGACTTGCAGCTGAAATAAATTTTGGTGCACAGTGTACCCATTAAGTAGATCAATTAGGATTCTATCTTCAGTTTAAAGGGAGATTAGATTAGATTGACTACGATTATATGTCCTTAATGTCTGATAACTTTGAAAAGCTGTTTTCACCCAACATTTATTTTAAAACTAATTAAAAGCTTCTGCCTCTCAACAGGCACTGCTCGTGGCATTGTGATAGCCACCGGGGACCGAACTGTGATGGGTCGCATTGCCACCCTGGCGTCTGAACTGGAGGTGCGACAGACCCCCATCAGCATTGAAATTGAACATTTCATCCATATCATCACCGGTGTGGCGGTTTTCTTGGGTGTGAGCTTCTTCATCCTTTCCCTTATCCTGGGTTACACCTGGCTCGAGGCTGTCATCTTCCTCATCGGCATCATAGTAGCCAACGTGCCTGAGGGCCTGCTGGCTACCGTTACGGTGAGTGGGGCAGAGAGGTCTGTTTTTGTTAGTTTAGTGGTTTTGCAGTTTGAAATGTTTATTTTGAACATACACACTTGAATCCACATTATGAGGAACTTCCCATAAATTTATGGCATAGTGCAAGTGTCACTTCTGTACTTGCACAAGTATGGTTCATTTTAAAAAGAATATTGACTCCTGTGCATGAATCTCATATTCTAACTAGGTTTGATGAAGTATTAGTAGTCTGGAATGAGAATTAGGCAGCATTTTTTTTTTAAACAATAATTGTCTGCCCTAATGTTTACTTATAAAGATGTTCTATAATTAAAACACAAAGGGTCAACAATACATACATACATCCTCATTTATGTTCTACAAGATGTCCCTTAGTATGATGCATCGTTTTTGTGTTTTTTTATGTCATCTTCAAGCTTCTGGCATAAATAGTTGAATAGTTGGCCAATCTGTATTAGTAAAGTTTATTCAAATAATTTGGTGTACAGACCCTCACATTTAAACATAAGTACACATTTTCAAAACGGATGAAGTTTGGATGATTTTCCTGTTTGAATTCCTAGTTGTTTAAAAGTTTTAACCATCCAGCTGCTGATGCTGGCAGTGACACAGCCCCAGAGCATAATGCTGCCACCACCAAGTTTGACCCCTTCCTCTT